GCCAGAGCTACACAGAGAAACCCTGTCTCGAAAAACAAAACAAACAAAAAACAAACAAACAAAAACAAAACCTGAAAACAGACCAACCACTTAGGCTATACAAAGACCCCTCCAGAACGACTGCAGTCCATCCATCTCTTCACCCCTTCTGAAGTTCTCAACTGAGAGAAACAAAGGACAAAGCGTAGCTAATGATTACTGTCTCAAAGATAAACATCATTGGGGCCTTTAAAAAAAAAAAATAGGGGCTGAAGAGATGAATTAGTGGTTAAGAGCACTGGCTGCTCTTTCAAAGGACCCAGGGTTCAATTCCCAGCACCCACATGGTGGCTCACAACTGGCTGTTCACTCCTATGGGATACAACTCCCTCTTCTGGCCTCCACTGATAACAGGCATGCACACAACACCCAGACACAGATGCAGGCAAAGCATCCATACACATAACAATACTTTGCTCTTTCTCTGCAGCCTAGCCAGATTAGTGTAGTCCTCACATCCCAGCAACTTCTCTTTGCAATGTTACACAGACCATAACAGAAAGCCACAACCCATCAATACACAGAGCTGTGGAGCCCAGCCCACCTGCAATATAATTCCTGCACTGAAGGCTCAGGGATTCCTTCATGAGAGGGGTGGAAAGACCGTAAGAGGTAGAGAAACGGACTTGACTCTGAGGCTGTGACTCCTAAGAATGTCAGACACCTCTCATAAAGTCTCATCAGCGTGGCTGCCTAAGCATGAGCTGAACAAAGACAGCAACAGCAGATACGGAAGGGGTACGGCCCATGGGCCTCAACCTTGCACAGAGCTGAAGGCCGCTGAGGAAGGCTGAAGTCCTGAGAAAACAGCCTTCCCCAGGTAAAGCACACAAATCTGTTATCCAATCCCAAATAGTCAGCCCTGAAAACGCACCTGAGTGACATTATCCACATCCAGCAGGCTGTGTTTATATATCTCGGGTACACACAACCTATATAACACACATGTATACAGATCCTCTATATAACAGCAATTCATGCAACGTGAAGCCATGGGTTTGAAAGAATGCAAGAAAGGGTATATGAGAGACATTGGGAGGAGAGAGGAGGCTCAAAACCCAAAAATAATTTAAAAAATAAAAGTGGATACTCTGAATTTTAAAATGAAAACTCAGTAATATACAAATAAAAATGCAAAGAAGAAAAAGTGCCATTAGTGAAGCAAAGATGACCCATGGTGACCTACACATTCCCTTTACAGATCAATACTTCAAAAAAACAGATTTTCGAAGCCTTGGCTGGCTCTGAACATCCAGCAATCCTCCGGTCTCAGCCTTCTCAGGTCTGAGTTTACAAGCACACACAAACATGCCCAGCATCCCTAGCACCTTCTCATTCTTAATCCCTCCTCATGTATTTAAACTAGAGACATTCATGCCTTCACAGAAATCCCTGATTTTCCTGAAAAATAATTCTTTATCATATTTTCCTGTTAGCGCTATCACTAATGTAACTGGAAGACCAGAAGTAGCCTCACAGAAGGTGATCAGCTGGGACAGAGGAAGAACAGAATGGAGGAAGAGGCAGACTTTGGAGTAACACACACAGAATAGAGAACACACAGATCTGTATGAGACACTGGGCACAGGATTAGCACTGCACAGAGAACTCCCGGAAACATATGGAGGAGACCTGCTAGAGCAGCAGCTTAAGGAGACTTGACTCATAAAGTTCTGGGCAAATTAAGAGTTGCCTGTCTTAGTCACTGTTCTATTATGGTGAGGAGACACCATGACCAAGGCCAATTATTATACAAGAAAGCACTGAACTGGGGGCTGTCTTACAGTTTCAGAGGTTGTGTCCATTATCATCACAGCGGAATCATAGAGGCATGTGTGCAGACTCGAGAACAGTAGCTTACAACTACATCCTGATCCAAAGGCAAAGGGTTTGGCACGGGATTTTGAAACCTTAAAGTCTCCCCCCCAACCCCCAGTGACATACTTCCTCTAACAAAGCCACACCTCTTAATCCTTCTAATCTTTTAAAATATTGCCACTCTTTGGCGACAAAGCATTCAAACATATGAGCCTGTGGGAGCCATTCTTATTCAAGCCACCATGCTCATTAGACAGTCATATGATGTTATCAAGTAGAAAACAGGAGCTGAGGAGGAGTCTGGAGACCTCCAGTCATCCTGTGCACACATCATGCTCAAGGCCACAGAAGACGTACCTGTTACTGATACTTGACAAACACCTAGGGAAACACTCCTAACGGAGCCATCCGAGACTCAATCAGACTCAAAACTAACTTTAAACTGCCTAGTGGCTGAATCCAGTGAAACACTGGGATTCTTCTGTTCAGGATAGGTCTTTTGCATTGAAATTCTATGGATAACTATGGACAAACACTGCCGTCCAAGAGAGGGCACTGCTGACACGGCCTGGCCTGGACTGCCTAGTCCCCAGCTTCGCCCCATGAATGCTCACAGTGCTTCCCTGAAGGAATGTTGAGTATTGACAGGGCAAAAGCATGATTACCACAGGAGTTGAAGGGAGTGGAGGATCTGGACAAGGAAAGCAACCTCCTCAAGAGGCAGAATGTACCCCTGAACACAGGTCCTCTGATCATACACTCAGAGATGTTGCCTCAGTGAGCAACTGAACAACAGTGGCAAAGAAGACTCAAACACCTACATCTACTCGTCTCTGAATTATTGTTCAAGTGTATAAAAATGATTCTTTTAGGGCTGGAGAGATGACTCAGTGGTTAAGAGCACTGACTACTCTTCCAAGAGTCCTGAGTTCAATTCCCAGCAACCACACGGTGGCTCACAACCATTTGTAATGGGATCCAATGCCCTCTTCTGGTGTGTCTAAAGATAACTATAGTGTACTCATATAAATAAAATAAATAAATATTTTTTAAAAAATGATTCTTTTAGTCTTAAGCCTTTCCCCATTAAAATTAAATGCTCCAGTTTGCTTTTCTATTGCTGTGATTTAAAAAAATAAAATAAGCTGGGTAGTAGTGGCCCACACCTTTAATTCCAGCACCCAGAGGGCAGAAGCAGGCAATCTGAATCTGAATTCAGGACAGCCTGGTCTACAGAGTGAGTTCCAAGACAGCCAGAGCTACAACAAAAAACCCTGTCTTGAAAAAAGCAAAACAACAAACAAACAAACAAGTATTGTTATCAAAAGCAACTCAAGGGAGACTTTACTTGGCTTATGCTTCCAGGTCACAGTCCATCAATCACTGAGGGAGGTCAGGACTGCTGGCTGCCTGGCTCTCTGGCTCATGCTCCAGCTTTCTTATATAACCTAGGACCATCTGCATAGGGATGGTGCCACCCACAGTGGGCTAGGCCACCCCACATCAGTATCAATCAATATAGTCTGTCCCAGATATGGCCACAAATCAGTATGATCTAGCCAATTCCTTGAGGTTTCATCACCCTGTGTGACTTATTGTCAAGCTGACAATAAGACCTAACCAGTACAGACTACTATTCCCCAGGAAAAGGTAAATGAGCTCTCTCATAGGCTGTTGGAAAAGGAAGTAGCTCAACTTCTGCAGCGCATGCTGATCACATATGACTATGCTGATGTGTATGGACACTAAGCTTCACTTAGAAAATAAGTGTCAAGTCAGGAACCATACAGCTACACAACACTTTATTGTGGAGAGCTTTTGGGGCTGCTTGGCAGAAATCTGACATTGGCCAAGGACAAGGAAATGGGCTTTAGGCAGGAATCTGACATTAGGCCACGACAAGGAAGTAAGTTCAGGCAGGAATCTAATTTTAGGCTAACACAGAGAAGTAATTTCAGTCAGGAATCCAAGTCTTAGGCTAGAACAAAGAAGTAGGCCTCAGGCACGAATATGACCGTGGGCTAGGACTGGCTAGTAGGATCAGATATTTTTGTCATCCAGATGAGCCCTTAAGAAACAGCAAGAGTGATCACAGAGTGATCACAGGACCCTGTATATTGCCTTGTTTGTTTCTTGACTGTTTGTGTCTATTGTATTGTTGGTTCCTCAACCTAGAACTGACCTAAATACTTGCATGTAATTAAAAGAGAAATGTGGGATTAAACAAACCTGCCTCAGCCTTCAGCCTCAGAACTGGCTGGGGTCATGCTGCAATTTGTCTAATTGTCTTTTTTCTTTTAATCCTCACTCCTGTGCTAGAGAACCTGTTGACTGACTAAGCGGGCTTGGTCACTTCATTTACATGAATACTTAATGTTGTGGCTGATCACTGCAGAAACTCAAAAAACTTACTCATGGATCATAAATTGAAAAAAAAATGGCTCTGAAACAAGATCACAAAATATTTGGAAGCCAGAAAAAAAAAAATTCACAATTCAACAAACATATACAAGACAACCCTCTGGTATATGTATATACAAGCCATAGGAAGAATTGACTTTCTGAAAACTAATGTTCCCATTTGTATGAAGGACAGGCAAGTTTCATTATGTTTCATGACTGAATTTAGTGATACATATGTGTTTACTTTGTCACTGAGACCACATTCACTTGAAAGGTAATGAAGAACTCTGAAACAGTGGGGCTCAGGGGCCTGAACTAGCAGGACAACTTAAAGCTCTTCTGTGTAAAGGAGAAGGTTAAGGACTGACCCCAGATTTCACTGGTACCACAGAAGGGTTCTGCCCTATGCTCCATGCCCAGCCCTTTGCCATTCTAAAACCCAAGAGGAGAATAACCTGATCCTCTAGAGCAGCAGTTCTCAAGCTTCCTAACGTGCGACCCTTTAATACACTTCTTCACGTTGTGGTGACCCCTGCATTGCTACTCTGTAACTGTAATTTTGCTACTTTTATGAATCGTAAATATCTGATATGCAGGATATCGGATACGAGACCCTCAAAGGGGCCATGACCCACAGGTTGAGAACCACTGGTTTAAATGCTTCTAGAAACACATGCAAACATTTGATTAGCGTCTTAACCCTCAGATCACATATGATGAAAGAAATAACAAGGAATTACCTCTCCTATGAAGACGACTATAACGCAGTCCAGCTTCTCTTCAGGATACAGATTATCAATAAGGGAGTGAAGGGTTTCTATGAGGTAAGATTTAACTTCTCTCTTCACAGTAGGAATGCCCATTACTATTGAAACTGGAAAAAAATACAGTAATTATGTGAAGAGATTTTATAATAACTGGTAAAGACTTTATAATAACGATATAGACAACTTTATAGGGGTAATTGAGGGATTCAATTTTAGAAAGAAGAAATAAAAGGGAATAATATCTATAACACCATAATTCTCTTCCATGTGGCTAGGCCAGGGGTGTGTGCAAACAACACAGCAAATAAGCGGTCCTAATAAAAGATTATGCCAAACCAACTGCTGCAGCTCGTTACTCCACAAGCCAAACTCAGAAACCCTGAGAGGTCTTATGAATGGACATCTTACAGATCAGAACCTCAAGGGAACCATGAAGAAACACTGGGCAAATACAAATCCGGGGACAAGCCACAAAATAACCAGCCAACACTCTTTACAGTGTCAAGATAAAGAACTGCCCCAGACAGAAAAGGCTAAGGAAGCTCGAGGGTGTAGTGAAACATGGGCTCAGAACAGGCAAGGGAGCACCGCAAAATCTCCAGGGACATCTGTGATTCATTAGCAGTAGAGCATCTGCGTGAACTTCCTGGTTTGGGTCCCTGTGCTATGAGTATGGATGGTGGAAATCTGAGGGTGCTGGGTCCTGCCCTGGCAGAAGGACCTCTGTAAACTAAAAGTTCTGTATAACATGATAGACTTGGAGGACTATAGTTTCTACCATACTGCTTGTTATGAATTCAAACTTACTCTTGCATGGCTGATGCATTAGGGAACAATTTGGATATAAGAAATTTCGCATGTGCTTACGTGTGATTTCTTCTCTGAGACACAATAGATGGGCACTGGAACCATGAACCCAGCTAAGCTGAGTTTGGAAAAATGAACTGAACTGTGAGGGGAAAAGGCGAAATGCATGCGCCTTAAACCTCTACCAGCTGCTACGAAAGGCGACCACCCTCATCATCCACACAGGGTGATAAGACTGTGTTGGATTTCAGACAACTCACCCTGGACCACTCACAACAGCCTCTGGACTGCAGCCCTCCTGCGATCAACTCTATCAAGGAAGCCTCATGGTGTCCATATTTACTGCGGTTACTATGTGCTATCTTGCTTAGGGTCTTCATGTGTGAATGAGGGAGGTCAGGACTGTGACCCTAACCCCATTACTCTCACTCCACCACACAATTTAATCTGGCTTAGTAATTTTGGGGACTCCCTATATTGTGCCACCAAACAGATTCTATTTCAAAGTCTTTTTAAAACTATTTTTTTTTTACCTTAAAGCCATAAAGCATTAATAGTCTAGGCACAATATATACACCACAGCAAGTGTTAAAATAATAATCTTAAACCAGGCATGATGGTGCACACCTTTAATCCCAGCACTTGAGAGGCAGAGGCAGGCAGATCTCTGAGTTCGAGGCCGGCCTGGTTCCAGAAAAGCCAAGGCTATATAGAGAGTCCCTGACTCAAACAAAACAAAAGTATATCTTAATCATAGAACAGCTTACTGGAGATACCAAGAAATACTTAGGATTCCAAAGCCAGAAGGACGTTTAAAGACCACGCACTGTTCTACCTTCATGTTCTACAGCTGAGAATACTAAGTAACAAGTAAGTGGTGGAAGGAACTGCCCCGAAGATCCCTCTCTTTTACTTTAGTGACAGTTGCCAGTGCCTCTGAGATTTAATCTACTTGTTCTGCACCTATTAATAAAAGACAGCATTCTAGGTGTTAGGCAGAAAATGGTGAGCAACTTCAATAATGTCTGCTTTCATGAGACTTAAGAGAGCTGAGGGAGAACATTCCAGAAGAGGAAGCAGCAGGATGCTGAAGACAGAACGATCTTGACATAATCAAAATTCACCAGTAATAGAATGGCTTTAAGGCAGAATAGGCCTCCGAGGGGAGAGTCCAGGGTCAAATTGAGCATAACAGTCTGAGTTCAATTCTGATAAGAAGAGACACTCATCATGAGGTTTCGAGTAGGGAACGCACACCCCAATTCTAGAACTTACTTTAAACCAGAAAAAAAAAAAAAACCTAGAAACAATCTAAATGTAGCATTCTCAATCTTCGGCTACTCAGTCTACCTTCCGTTAGAGCCGCACTACACCCTGCTTTTGGCATAGCCTTTCTTGTTTCCTTCACATGTGACGTGTCAGTTGCTCCTCATTCTTCTGCCTGTCCCTCCAGCTTAGCTTGCTCTTTCACTGGGCATTAGCTGCTGGTGAACTTGAGCCCTAGATGATCTCACTTAGACACATTTCTTCAGCCACTTATTTGTCATGACTCACAGAATGAAACCTAACGCAGACTTCCCCTGTGAGTCCCAGACCTAACTCCCTCCTTGGCATGCCCCTATGTCAGCAGCTCAAAGCTTCCCCAAAACTTAAGTTGTCCAAGTTTAGCACATTCTCTTCTCTTAAAAGCCAATGCTGCAAGCTGCAGAGATGGCTCAGTGGTTAACACCGAGTACGTTCTGCAGAGGGATCTGAGTTTGGTTCCCAGCACCCCCATTGGGTGGCTCACAATGGCCTATAACTCCAGGGGACCGGACATTTTTGACCTCCCCAGGCACCACACTCATACACAGACACCCCCTATTAAAACACATGCGTTCCATAGTTAAAAGACAATACAAATGCATCTTAAACAACGCTACAGAGTATGTTTATTCTCCTGGGTCTCAGCAATCAGAGTCTGCCATCTGTTCAATTCCTCTGCCTGGAATCTTAGAACTCTCCATGGCCATTCTCTCGAGCCCAGCCCTTGTCAGTCCTTATGTGCTCAGAAATCACCCAAAGCCCCCAAACCCACCTAATGTCTCAAGTGGATACCTAAAAGAGGTAGAGGTGAATCCCAGGGCAAGTGCCCCGCCAGTGAGCCGCTCAACTCTCTCCTCACTTCTGCTTGAAACAGACTCTTCTAATGAACTCTTCTGTTGCCCAGAGAGGCTCTGACCTCAAGTTTCCTGCCTCAGCCTCCTGAGTACTTGAGAGCTCCTATGTCCCCAGTTTACAGATCGACTCTTAGGCGGCATATCCGAGTTTCAACTGTAACTACTAACGTGAAAAGCAAACACTTCTAACTGACCTCTTCTAACAGTTGGAGTACTGTTTTATGGGTGATCCCCTTGCCCATCCCTCCAAAATAAATTATACCACTTGCTTCACACCAGCTCAGTTTTATAGATCGCCAAGTTACTGGCTTTCTTATTGCTGGCCATGCTGTATTTGCAGATGCCGCTGCTTTGCCATCTGTGTTGGCTGTGCCCAGCTACCTCAGCCACTGGTGTGTGGGAGGACCGAGAACTTCAGAATCCCAGGCTGTTTCTTCAGACCAGCCAACACCTGGAGCATTGCCCCTCCCTCAAGCCTGAGGATGGTTTTGCTGCTGCTCTGGGATTAACACGACTGACTACTGAAGAACAGAACCACTAGCAAGGAGCAGCTCTGCTTGGATCTAGTCAGCTCTTCTGGTTTAATGACTGACACTCTGTCTTCCTTTTAAGCAGATTTCTTTGATCTCACTCATCTTATCCATCTAGTTTTTAAAAAGTCCACACTCTTATAAAGTGGGTGCCGTTTTTAAAACATAGAAAAAGCAGTCAACTTGGAATATGGGGAAAATCTTTATTTAATTTAAAAAACAAAACCTCTTTTTCCTAAATCCTTAGACAATCCTTAGTGATTCTACAGCTAAGAACTCGTAGGATGTCCCCCCCCCAAAAAAAAAGGCATTGACCTCTGCTTAGAAAAACATATATAGGAAAGTTATTTTGTACACGATTTCCAGGGAGTCATGTTTTGTGGAAGCCCAGAGCCTATGTAACATGTAGGGATTCTGCATCATTAGAGTTTCTCTATCCAGCCCCTGAAGGACACCTTGCCTCAGTGAATATTTCTTGAATTAATAATAAATAAAGAGTTACTCTGAATGGGCTAGCGTAAAACGAACAACTTCTATAAGAATATCAGACATTATTGTAAATTATTTATAAAACATAAAGATGGAAGAACCAAAGTGAGATGGATGCAGAGAATCAGTAACATAGTAACTAATAACATAATAACGGCTCAAATGACCAGAACTAAAGAGGAACACGCTTGAGGCTCCCACTGAGTCCAATCCCTCCAGAGCTGTGGGTACAACTCCATGGAGAACTGCTGGTCTAGCATGCACGAGGCCCTGGGCACACACATGAGAACTGCACAAAGGAAACACCAGCTAAAGCAACACACCGGCTAGGGAAACACCTCAGCCGCAAAGAGCGCCTGCTGCTCTTTCAGAGGATCTGGGTTCTACTCCCAGCACCCACACGGTGGCTCACAACCACGTGTAATTCCAGGTCCAGGGGAGCCAATGCTCTCTTCTAAGGTCTGAGAATGGCAGTTTTTCTATCACACAGGACATAGTTCAACACATAAAATAAATGTAAAAAAAAAATTAGCACAAAAATGAAATTCAAACCGGCAAGGGTGGGACACACCTGAAATCCCAGCTACTCAGTGGGGTGAGGGGGAGGTAAGCTTGGGCTCCATAGTGAAACCTCATTTTTAAAAAAGTCCTCAAATAACAACAAAGGGAGAAGAATTTCAGGATCTCTAGAATTATTGTTTCATCAATTGTAATATTTTAGTCTCTACATTTTAGATCTGTGAAGAAAAAGTCAACCTAAAACGTCTAAGTTCAATTAAGTCAAAAACTGTTAGGTCACAAAAGAAGTGAAGGACTAGAAATTTTAAGTAGCCAAAAGGTCCTAGGAGAGGAATTCAGGGACTGACTGGGCAGGAAGAGCACAGCAAGCGCAAGTGGGAAGCTCATGAGAGCAACCATCTACCTCTAAGTATCTAAGGGAAAGCAGGGTAGACTTAGACAAACCCCCAGGCAGGATTGTGAAGAGCCATTAATGCGGGACTAAGACATTGGGAAGGAGTCACCTCTCTACCTCACCATTTTTAGAACAGGAAATTGACAAAGGTTCAAGAGTTTATCTGCCTGAACTACATATGTACTGATCCCATTTTGATATACGGAAGAGATATCCCTATTGTTTCAATAAGCAGATTGCACTGAGCCCCAAGCTGCTGTGCAGATATTAAACATATATTTAATATAGAAATATATTATATTAATAAATTATACATAATTTAATAGTTATTATTTAATGTATTATAATTTAATGTCAATAATTATATTTATAATATTAATATAATTTAAATACAAATGTATTAAATAATAACATTAATAATATGTATTAATATAATAATATTAATTACATTATATTTTAATTTAATTATTTAATTTAATTTTGATATAGTAATTATATTAATATATATATTAAATATAAATATATTTTAAATTTTATTCCTTTGTCCTGCTAGACTTCTTTCCTAGTGGTCAACCAAGCCCTCCAAATCACAGTTCAGGTAGCAGGCGCACAGTGAACACACCTCCTGTTCTTCCACTGCCAATCTGTACGGCGGGCTGAAGGCTTCTTTCATTTTGCAATAGATGAGGCAAATGATAATAAATACTTGGCACTTGAAGTGATTTTTTGCTTGTCAACTCTTTTAGAAGCTTTATGGTATTATCTGAAACACAGAAAGACAATTAAGTGGCTGGAACCCCTTACCTTCTGGAAGTCGCTGTAGATTTTCTCTTTTGAAACTTAGCTGAGAACACAGGAGAAAAACAACCAAGCAGGCTCTAAATATGCTGACTACAAAGGAAGTCAGCAGCAAGCATGCTGGCCACCACTCAATTTCACTTTCTTGTCTTTTTTTTTTTCCTTAAAGACAGGTTGCTGATATATAGCCCACGTGGTCTCAAGTCTGCCATGAAGCCATGTTCTTCCACGCCAGGCATGTGCCATTGGCCTAACTTTCATTTTCTTTATGCATTAACATTTCATCAAACTTTTATAAAGAAGATATATTTCCCTAAAATAGCCATTGAAAAGATTTAGAAGTTGGGAACGCTCAGCCTGTGTCAATCTGAAAGTGGTTTCGGTTTCATCTAGAGGAGCCGATGAGTCACTGAACAGTTATAGAGTAAAAATTTCTGTTAATTAAATGCTGTAAATTTTTATCCAACTGAAATTTCACCTTCTAAACAAGGCAGTCAGTATTATGGACTCGTGGTCACAATGCCATTAAAGATATGACATGAGGGATGGAGATAGGCTCAGTGGTGACAGTACCGGCAGCTCTTTCAGAAGTCCCGGATCACAGCCAACTGTAACTCCTGTCCCAGGAGATCCAACACCCTCCTCTGGTTTCCTTGGGCATTTCTCACATGTAGTACACAGACATAATGCAGACAAACACCCATATCAAACCCACAAAAATATATCACATCATACATAAAATTAAGCTTGAATCCCATATTTAAAGAATCAGTAAGTTACAATATCCTATATCCAGCAATCAGAAGCAGCTAGAAGGATGCTAAATGTCAGTCACGCTGTGATGACTGTCCTAGATAGTCAGCAGAATCAAAGGCCCTAACGCAGTCTGTCCTGTGACTCAGTCGTTTCCTCTTGATGATTTTAGCTTTCGCTCACTCCACAAATACCTAATTGCTTTCTGTCTTGTTCCAGAAATGGTGTGTTTGGAAATCGCCTGCCATCAAAACATAATCTAATGAAGATCACAAGGGCTGCCAGAAACATAACCAAACGCTACACAAAAATGTTTCTCCCATAGCTGTGATTTGGAAGGGCGAAAGTGACCCAGGAAAACATTCATTTGCTAATTATAGAAGGAAGTGCTTCATTTGCTGTGGTCTATGATTAGCACATTAGCTAGGAAAGTATTTCAGTCTGTGGGGAGTGCACATGTCCAATCCTAAGCACTAGGGAGGCTGAATCAGGAGGCTCACAAGTCTGAGGCCAGCCTGGGCTATGTAGTTACATCGAGACCAGCCTGTGCCATAGAGTAAAATCTTACATTATTAAAATAAAATTTTAATGTAAATAGTATTTTAAAGAATGACACCAGACATTGTGGTGTACACCTTCTATCCTAGCCTTCTAGAGCCTGAGGGAGGTGGATCTCTGTGAGTTCGAGGCCAGTGTGGTCCACATAGCAAGTTCCAGGGCAGCCAGAGCTACAGAGCAAGTCACTGTCTCAAAAACCAAACCGACAAAAATGATAAGGTAAAAATGTTCAATAGTAAACATTTGTTTTAAAAAGACGAAAAGGAAACAATAAAAAGAGTTAACAAAAATCACTGGGTGATTTCCTTTCAGCTGTATCATTCTGTCATTGTAAATGCTACACAGTGACAAACTACACCAGTGCCCTCAGTAGGAGAGGGAGAAACAAAACTAACAATGAGGGCAGGTGTTGCTACCAAGATGAAAGGCATCCCTAGCCAGCTCTGTTTAGAGAACATGAAACTGACTCTAAAGCACCCATGTAGAAAGAGCCCTGGAGCCCGGAGCACTGGTATAAAAACACGGAACAACTCAATCAGCAGAGGCAGGAGAACCAATGACCAGAATCCCCAAGAAGGGAGTGCTCAGATACTCTCCAGGTATGCACTATAACCCAGGTTTCTTCCTTATCATTCAGATACAAGAGCAGCTCACAGATTCCCCTGGGGTCATCTAATGTCAAGCATTAGTTACATTATAAGCATGCTGAAATAAAAGTTAGAATTTATTTATTTTACAACGCTTATTCATGTGTATGTGTGTTTATGTTTATAGGTCAGAGGACAATGTGGGAACAGATTCACCCTGTACACCATGTGGGACCTGAGAATTGAAGCAGGGTTGTTAGGCTTGGCATCAAGCTACTTTTACCCATTGAGCCATTTTGCTGGCCCAAAAGTTAAAAGTTAATCCCATAGGAATGCTTTCAAAAGATACAGGTTCTTCGATACTACTGATAAAATGTACGCAACTGAAATGTAACAGTGCATGCTGTCGAAATCAAATCCAGCAATGAATAAAAATGCATTTATGATCCACCAGAATGGCAAATTTTGTGATCTTTCTTTCTGAAAGGGGCAACCATTCACAAAGCTCAGGTCCCGCTCCAAACAAATCCTTGAGCGTGTACGTCTTTTAAAGTACCTGAGAATGTACTCAGAGCAGTCTTACTTCCATTAGTCTCTGCTCCAGCTCTGCGGAACTGTTGGACAATGGTGTTTAGCTCAGAGGATCGCTGAGATATCCTATGTTCGGCCACTCGAAGACGTTCTTTTAGAGCAAGGAATTCACGTTGATAAGCAATTAGTTTTTCTACAGGCAAAACGAAAAAAAGAAACCATTAGTATTCTTTGTCTTTTAGTATACATATTTAAAATAAAATAATACACTGTTCCAGCGTACAGTAGGAGGGTAGGCATGGATCCTGGAGGAGAATCCACTACTGCCGGTTTCCCAAACTAATGTCATTTCTAACTGTCCCTCTTCACCCCTCACCAAAGAAGCTTCCAGGTAACAAAAAGAAACTATTATAGTCAAACATGTTCAAAATACAAAGAACAAATGAAAGAGCGGGAGGTCAGAGCAATGGTGGGAGCCAGTAAGCCAGAGAGCCTGCTGCTAGTGTCTTTTAGACGTGACACAGAGGTCTGTACCCCTGAGATCTCCATTATACGGTTGTCTAAATGAAACCTACATAAGGATACGACGAGCAGCTGATGTACCAACGCGCACTGGGTTAATTCCACAAGGCCCTACAGCCCTAGATAAGTAACTATAGGCAGTCAATGGCCGGGGAAGGAGGGAGGATCAGTTTTTTCCAGGATAAACTCGATGATAGGTTATGCAACCCCAAGTGGTCAGCCCTAAATACACGGAATTACAAGTGCACAGAGGACCTTGTGCTCCCACGTAAGCACGAGGGGAATCAGATGTTAGAAACACGGGTTGTTTCTTCAAAGGGAGGGAGACGTACAACCGTTTTCCACCCAGAAGCTGGGAGCAGACTTGCAGAATAGCCTGGTAATCTTTCCTGTGCGGACAGACCATATCAGATCCTCCATAGACTCTCACCTTGAGATTTTGTCTCAGTCAACCTATAGCTATCTATGATATCATATATCTATGATAGTCTCCCTCCCACCCCCGCCCTGCTTTATCTTGAGTTTGTGACAGAACCTATCTTTATGGAAGATGTCATGTGTTCTTTATAAAGAATTCAAGGCAGTCATGTCTCAAGCTTTGTTGTACACATGAGATTGAGTTCATTATCACCATGTCTAGGGCTTTACTACTCTGAACAGACACCATGACCAAGGCAACTCTTATAAGGACAACATTTCATTGGGGCTGGCTTACAGGTTCAGAGGGTCACTCTATTATCATCAAGGTGGGAGCATGGCAGCATCCAGGCAGGCATGGTGTACGAGGAGCTGAGAGTTCTACCTGGCTTCCAGGCAGCTAGGACAAGGGTCTTATAGCCCATGCCCACAGTGACACACTTCCTCCAACAAGGCCACACCTCCAAAGAGTGCCACTCCATGTGCCAAACATATTCAAACCACCACACCCCAAATTATGTGTGGTAAATATGCCTAAAGAAAGCTACTGAGGTCAGACACTCAAAGTTTGTATCAACATCACCTTGCATCAGGTTGAACTGAACTGCCTTCTTGCCTCCCTCAGAAGGGTACTCCGCTGACCATGGTGGTCACAGAGACCCTGAACATTTACATATGAGCAACAGGAAATGTACTCAGCAGGCTGCATGGTCATACATGTAAGCATGTATGTAATGTAGGTAGCCATGAATTTTACCGGGAGTTGAGGACAACACAGAAGAAGCTGGAAGAAAGAGGTGGGGGAAGTGAAAAGGATATAAATACAGTATCGTGCATAAAATTCTCAAAAAAACTTAGTTAAATATAAAAATTATCTGTATGTAAGCACTTTCAAAACTTAAAGAAGTATGCTTGTAAAAAAAAAAAAAAACAAAGCTAACAGAACTTCAGGAACAGATACATTTAGTCAATATCTTGCAAGAAAATACTCATTGCACTAGAACTGAAAATCAAAATGGGCTCTCGTTTGTTGGAGAAAGCACCCCAACTAATTCTGCTCTTAGTAACTGTAAGAATGTAAGCACTATACCACACTACACGGAGAAGCCCTGTCTGAAGGAAGAGGAAGGTGAGAAAGAGGAAGACACACTCTGTAAAGCTGGGGCTAAGACCAGGGAAGGCATTGTTCACTGTCCTTCCTTCAGGTACACACAACAAACTCTCAAGAAGTCTGTGACAGGGTACTTATCTGGCACAAGCCCCCCACCTCCACCCCCAACCCCCATGCTTCTGACACCAAGGGCCAAAGCCACATAAACTGCTGTATCCCCTTCCCAAGCCTCCTGCAGGAGGACAGAAATCAGCAGTACTGTGCCCAGGAAAAGCTTGTGAGAAAGTTCAGACACTGTGTCCTGTTTACTGACGTGAGTAAAGATGCTGTGAGGGAAGATGACACAGTTTATCCTTACTCTGCATTTCTTGTGTAGGGCACTGCTCTGTGTAAACTCCTACGAAAATAAACGCCAAGGCACCATTTATAAACACAAAACTAGAAAGGGCTAAACATAGTGATGTGAGCTGAGGTCCCAGCTTCTCAGAAGACTGAAGCAGGAGGTTCCCTGGAGGCCAGGAATTCAAGACCAGCCTGACACCAGAGCAGAACCCCAGCTCAAAACAGAACCATGAACAATAATGTGGAATGACTATCACAGGAGACAAGATTTATGAACAACAACTACTGACGTCAGTTGAGGTTACAGCAAAGATAGAAATCACCTCTTATCCCTGAATGGGAAGACCCAGGCTTGTAAAACAATTTTCCTCTAATCTAAATAACAATGCAAGTCAACACTTTTCAAAATGACAACTGGGGAAGGAAGGCTTATGTAAATTCTAAAATTTATCTAGAACAATAGCACTTTTTAAAGTGTCTAGAAAATAACATAGAAAGTATGTTCTGATATCAGATTCTATTCTAAGGATTCAGATATGTGAGTCCCTGAGTCTGGAAACCATAGACCAGCAAGATCAGCCACAGAATTGCTCAAACCAGCCACTCTCTACATAAGCAGGCAGAGTAATGTCCTTCCCCATAAGACCCAGTCAGTGCCTACACGTTGGTTTTTGAATACCAGTTGGCACTCAAAGAAACTAGACTTCATTGAAGAAAAAAATAACTTCAAAGTAATAATATTAAATCACAAAAAAGCTAGTGGTGTAGCTCAGTGGATAAAGGCACTTGCTGCCAAATCATGGGGATCCAAGTTCAAGTCCCAGAACCCAAGTAACAACAGAAGGAAAGAACCAACTTCCCAAAGTTGTCCTCTGGCTTCCACAGGCAAGCTGGCCTCCACACTGCCCACACATACACACAGTAATAATTTTTTTTTCTCTGAGAGACAAAAGGACAGGACACTGACAAAAAAGATACAAAGCTACATAAGAAACTCTTACTAGCTACATGAGGTAATTTAAGTAACAAAACTAAACAATTGATGGTAACAGATTATAACCCATTGAATAAAACTAGAATCAAGGAGTTCATACCAGTGATAGACTATAAGCCCTCAGATGAGGGGGCAGAGGATCTTACAGGAGAATGCCAGTTACTGACAGTCAGAAGGGCGACCAACAACAGAGGGTAGTAACTGAGTCAGGCAAGAAACAAACATGGATACTCTCTAAATATCAGGTACAAGTCTGGTAAGGAATGAGGTATTTACATCATCTCAAAGTATCTCCCCACTAAGTACTCATTTTACACAGGAAAAATGCTAATTTGAGAGTAGAGAAACTTGGCAGACATTCCTTAAGGGAGAGGCCACAGTTCACATGAGCAATAACAGGTCTGGTAGCAGCACCTCCCGAGATCTACCAAGAACAAGGCTCATTACACGGTGCTCCTGCCAAGACCACGTAATTTCAGTCTAATCTGGAGGAAACAGAAGACTCCACGAAACGGAGACAATGCAGGAAGCATATAGCATGTACCTCAAATGATGTGGAAGTTCATCAAGATGAAGACCAAGGAAACGCCCAAGACTACAAGACTTGGAGTCTAAATACCAGAACAGTAGCACAATCCTAAATAGATCCTGAGTGAGATTAAAGAGACAGAACTAAGAAGGTATCAGGACCACTGTCAGAAAACCACAGAAGAGACTGAGGGTGGGAGAGGAGTGCTCATGCTTTTTAGAAAATCCGCATAGAAAAATCACACTTTCTGCCAGGCAGTGGGGGCGCACGCCTTTAATCCCAGCACTTGGGAGGCAGAGGCAGGTGGATTTCTGAGTTCGAGGCCAGCCTGGTCTACAGAGAAAAATCACACTTTCTGAACGCTGCTGTCAGTCCAAAGTCTATGGTGAAGAAGGGATCTAGGTAGGCCCCATCCTAGTAGCTCACACACACTTTGCTTCTGAATTTACCCTTCCATGTCAAGGAGTCTCCCGCATTATATCTGATCCAAAAAGCCAAGAACTTCCTAGATGTTTTTAGAACATCCTTAGAATTTTTCCTATTTATATGTCCCAGAAGCTTAGTTCAAACTTTCAATAAACACAAAAACTCTTCCAAATGTTCATACAATCCCCGTTTTCATCATCTGTAGCGAAATCTCTTTATTTGCTTTGTTTTTGCATTCTGCAGGGGTCCACGGCAGGAACCTGAGGGCATCTCTGCTGCCCTCTTCCTAAGTGGGCTGGATCTGCTTACCTTTTTGTTTCCATTATCAGTGAGATCTAAAGTGTAAAAACTCCAAAGTATGATATTGTGGATGTTTGTTCCTTTGGTGGAAATGACAATCTTCGTGTGATTTAATTTAAAATACGTTTTAGACCCACTGTAGGAAACAAAAAAAAACCTGATGCATAATGTAAATGGATAACAGTATGTATGCCAAAAATAGAAAAGAAATTTAATTTTTTTCCTTAAGAGGTAGAACCTTCTATTTAACAGGATAAAGAGGTTTGCTAGTGAATTTTGCAAATGTTAAAGTTAACAAAAAATTAGTCTCATATGTTTGTTTTTTTTTTAAGAAGTTAAGATTTATCAAACTAAAATTTGAATGTTGGTTCCTTGCTTTGTCTCTGAATGGAAAAAATTAATTAACTAATTAAAAAGAGAAGGACATGACTGTTCTCAAAGTACAAGAGAGTTTTACTGTAGATACAAGGGAGAGTCCAGGCTGACCATGGCCGGCAGACTAAACTGGACTATGAAAGGAATGAGGTGGGGAGAGAGCAAGAGAAGAGCCAG